GGCTTCCCCAGCGCCTCCGCACCCGCCAAGGATCATTATCTGCGCAAACATCGAGCGGAGAACCAGTCGTGCCAGAAGCGCAACGAGCTCCAGGGAGAAGCGGCGCGCGCTCCAACGGCTCCTCCCCAGCAAGGGGATCCCGACTGGGCCGAGGATCCGAGCACGGGCTGAATTCAGGTCGTGCTTTGCTGAACCATGTCCAGAACACGAGGTTTAGGGACCAGCCACCAAGGCTGCACGAGACCTCCCTGCGGAGCAGCTCCTGCCGCTGCAGAGAAGGCAGCTCCAGGTTCCAGCTCTGGGCAGGACAGACCGTCACGGGGACACACGGGAATGGGAGCGGCGAGCACAGGCGAGGCTCTTAAATACATTTTTGTGCCTCGCACCGCGAGGTCCCCAGCACGAGCATGAGTCACCAGAATGGCACCTTTGGGCAAAGCGCACCTCGGAGCCCGCCCTGACGGAGCCACGCTCCGGGAAGCGCCGCTGCCTCCGGAGAGGCCTTCCCGCTGCACAAGGGGCCACGAGGCTGCCTCCGCGGTTATTCCTGGAAGGATTGCTTCACCCCACGGGAGAAAGGGGAATCTGGCAGCAGGGATTCCGGCGCACTTCTGCTTCCCACCAAAACCGTGGGGCCAAAACCCCCTCCAGGCTCAGCAGAGGCTCCGGCCCCTTCCTCCTTCCTGGTCTCTCCGCAGTGCCCACACAGGGAAGTCACCGACCGCCCCCGTGGTCCTGTCCCGATCACACCAACCCTGGCCAGACCCAGCGCAAATATGAAAGGGCCAGAAGGGCACAAACGAAACTGAAGCAAGAGTCATTCCCAGCAAAACTCCGTGGTCATTTGGGGAATTTGGGGGGAATTTTGGAGGCAGAACTGTTCCCTGAGCCTAAACAGTTCTCCATGAAAATAAAAAGTGTAATAGAGGGGTTTTTTTTTTCCTAGTTATATTGAAAGAAAACTTTAAGAAGTCCGGCCAGGGAAGAAGTCCCCCCGAGCAGCTTCTCACAGCAGCACCACAGACCTCGCCGCGTCGCTGTTTTAGATGGGGATTTTCAAAGCAAGTGCTGGGGCTGGTGCCCACGCGCCGTTTGCACCGTCGGGAGCTCCCGGCCCCAACGTGCTCCCAGCTCACGTTGCGCCGCCGGCCGGGTGACACTTAATTAACAGCAGCCAGGGCTAAAGCCTTAATGCGACGCAGCGCGGCCATCTGGTGCTGCCCCGCCACGATTCGGGAGCTCTCGTCCCGAGCGCGCTTCCCGGCTCCCTGCAGCTGCCGGCAGTGACGAGGCAGACGACAGACAGGTTCATTAGCGAGATTAATTGCCCTAGAAAAGCGGGGGCCGTTCCCGAGCGAGGGGAACATCAATCACTCATGCAGTGTGTGTGACCAACACAAGCGAAACTGCTGTCCGGGCAGCTCGCGCA